AAGAAAACTGAATTTGATTACTGATAAGCATTACATTGTCTAATAAAGGTACAAGCGAGTCATATTTTGGAATACTGTATGGATCTAAGAATGGAGGTTGGCTTGGGATGAATTAATGCTGTTGACTGTTCATATTGAACTGGTGTGAATTTGTAGGATGATTTTATGGAGAAAATATCTTTACCTTTTTCAAGTATAATCTACTGTTATACAAAATGAACTTTTAAAGCTTCTTTTCCTTTGTCAAATGAGAGAGTGGTTAGAATCCAGAAAAAACTGACATAGTGTTGGTGAAATTATTTTAATTTCTGGTATGTATGAAGATGTGGGAAATAACAGTACAGCTTCACCGGTAACTATGGTTAGCACAGTACTGTACTTGCAACTTCAGAACCTATGATAATTTTTGTTTACTTTGCATGAATACTAGGTCAACAGCAGGCTGATGCTTTAGAAGAGCTAGGTACAATACTGTACAGGGGGTCCCCAACTTACGAACGTCCGACTTAAAAATGCCCGCCGATACAAACAAGGTTAATTTTCAAATTTATAGTATTTTATTTACATGACGTCTTATTTTTTACTTTCATTTACTGTACTGTATTTCGACATTCTATTTACTCTTTTCTCTTAAATTAAGTGATTTTAGATGCATATATTCAGATTTTAGACACTGTTCTGTAAGTACAGTATGCACATAGTATGTGCTTCATCTTACGTACAGTTTTGACAAAAGTACGTCCTCAGGAATGGAATCCATTCGTAACCCGGGGATCCCCAACTGAACTGATGAAACAATTCTCCAATTATTTTTAGACTACGTACTGATAAATCATTATCAAAAAAGTGCAATGCTCTAAATTTCATATTACTAAGTTCAGTAAAGTTAATGAGTATGAGTTTACAAGCTATAACTGAAAATTTGGTTGAAATTGAATCTATTGTGGACAGTCGATATCCATTTTTTTTATTTCTGATACAGTAAGTGCTACTGCTTCAATAAACTAAAATCTGAACTACAGTAAAACTTAAACAAAAGGCACTAAAACTGAAAATCTAAATTTTATATAATTAAAATAAAAAGATGGAGGGGTAGGGTGCTTCTACACCTAACAATCTGGAGAACTGATAGGATATCAATGTTTTGGCAAATATGATACATAACATGGGTAAAGTTATAATGCAAAATTGAGCTGAGTAGCATAGAAGATCCCAAAATAAATACAGCACAAATTTTAACTTAAGGTTAATTGGTAGTGAAGAAATGAACCAGTGTGCAGTGATCATATGTAATGGTACTGTGATTACAGTACGATACAGTACAGTACTGTAGTTTTAAAACTGCTTATAAATGACAAATAGTTATTTTGTAATATTTTCAAACACTAGGTCCAGTACTTGTATGTATTGGACAGCAATAATTGTATAATCAATAAATGTTTTTAACATGCATTACAGTGTATCTACTCATGACTATAACTGGAAAAGTAACTGGCTGTAACTCCATTATTACTGGTAGCACTTATAAACTGTGAAAGTGAAAAATTGGTCCGATAACCATGATTACTGGGTATCCAATTTAGTAACATGCAGTAACTACTTGTACTGCAGGTGATTTACTTATAAATGGCTCCATAATTAACTATAAATGTTGTCAGAGATTCATAAGTTTTCCTCCTTACTCTGATACTGCCCTGTAACTGAGTGCATTTTAGAGTAATTGATATTCTTGTTCTATAGCAGAGTAAGAGCTAAAAAATGGTAGCAAAGTTGCATCCAGACTCTACCATGAACTTGATGCATTCTCTTGTTTCCAGTTACGGCTGAAACACAAAATTAGGGAATTAAGTTTAACGGTGGAAATTTTTGTGACTCGGAGATAAGTTAAAGACATACTGAACTATACTGCTGCGAAGTTCTAATGAAATTAACTAAACTTAAACTAAGATAATTATTTTAAAATAAAATATGTTTTGCGTATACAGTACAGTATAAGGATTGATAGATTATTTTCCCTTTTTTTTAAGACTTTCACAAGAAGCTAGTGTACATTACTGATAGTTAGCATATCTGACTGGTTTCAAGAGAACTAGTTCATGAATACAGTATGCCCACTTAGCATACTTTAGGTATGAAAAAACTCAAAGCTATGGGAAACATTCTGGAACAAGTCATCGAAAATACTCATGTTAGCATGCAGATTACATGTTGTGTCCAGATCTTTAGAAATTAAAAACAAACAAAAATTGATCTATCGGTGTCTGGTTTGATTTAAGATATGTGCCCACCTTACAAGGATGTGTTAAAGAAAATATTTACAGGTACCTGTACTGTACTACTGTACAGTATATGAAAGCAGAATAAAGTATTTGCCTCGTCACAACCACAGAGCCATTCACATTTCTGATAAACACTGATGTTAAACTGGCGTGTATATTCTTTGTTCCTGCTTGTACTGTTCTGAAATTCCATGCTTATTGTTTGGTGGGGACTCGGTGTGAGGCTTGCAGTCCCTCCATTTTATTTTTCACGAGCCGCCACTGCATATAACATCATCCATCATCACTACATACAACAACATCCATCATCACTACATATAACATCATCCATCATCACTACACATAACATCATCCATCATCACCACATATAACATCATCCATCATCACTACATATAACATCATCCATCATCACCACATATAACATCATCCATCATCACCACATATAACATCATCCATCATCACTACATATAACATCATCCATCATCACTACATATAACATCATCCATCATCACTACACATAACATCATCCATCATCACTACACATAACATCATCCATCATCCATCATCACTACATATAACACCATCCATCATCACTACAGATCGGTAAAGTAGGTTCCGAGATTCTCATGCGGATACAAACACACATGCTTCTTTGTTATATATATATAGTGTATATATAAATATATATATATATGTGTGTGCTGATAACCACAAGGAAAGAAGAAAACACGAAGTTCCCAAGCGCTTTTGTGTAATTCACATCTTCAGGGGTGAGTACAGACTAAGGAGAAGTACAAAACAAGGTGTATATATACAGAGGTGGGTGAGATCAGGTCCACAATGGTTAGGTATTAGGTAATGACTCTACTAATCTTTAAAAAGCACCGCAACGGTTGGTAGTCAGGTCAGAGGGTAAGGTTGTGGGGTACGGTTGTTGGGTTAACACCACTAGCGTAGCTAGAGATCCCCCGGGCGGCACTTTTGGGTCTGCTCATCACCCATATCTGCAGCTACTGGAGACGTTAATCCATCCCTTTGTATCGGCGGCAAGTTAATCCTTGTCGTGTCTGACCTAACACCTGACCCACATCATCACGGCCACGTCATGAGCTACGTACCCCTTGCTATGCGCCCCCCCCACACACACAACCTGTAACCTGTTGAGGATTAAGGAAACAACTTCAAACAAGTACGCCAGTGAGCTCATGTGGTGTGGGTCAGGTGTTAGGTCAGACACGACGAGGATTAACTTGCCGCCGATACAAAGGGAAGGATTAACGTCTCCAGTAGCTGCAAAACCATGCAGTCTCGGGTCATATCAGTTCATGTACAGCCGACCAATCCACCAGTTACAAGCAATTCACTTCAGTTCTCCACAAGTCTCCATCGTGACAAGACGAGGGGAGGCTAGACGACTTTTAAGTTCTCTTGTGTTTTCGATCCAGTTATTTACTTCGTTGGAAGACATAATACTATAAGGTAAGAAATATTAAAGTATTGGTTAAAAAATATTGATGTGACTTTTGCTGCGGTACTGAGATTAAATATTAAGATTTTGTTTCACAGCATTGCGATTTTATACTAAGACACTATCCTCACTGGGGTACAGACAAAAGCCCCCCCGACAAAAGCCACCCAGACAAAAGCCCCCCAGACGAAAGCCACCCAGACAAAAGCCCCCTACTTTGATCGGGGTGGCTTTTGTCTGACAACAGTAAGGCAAACTATTTAATATATATATATATATATATATATATATATATATATATATATATATATATATATATATATATATATATATATATATATAAAAGAGTGAGTCACTGTGCAATATGTATTTTTTGTAGGGTCACGGGGGGGGGCGGCAAACTCAAGGGCCGCCCCGGGCGGCACACACACTAGCTACGCCACTGGTGAACACTCAGGATGGGATGGAGAAAGGAAACTCGCAATGTGCTCTCTGTATACATGTTGTATTGGATGTACAATGCAGTTTGGTGCTGGGAAGTGGCAGCGTGGTTACAAGCATGATGTAGAGAGGGTGCTCAAAGGAGGACCAGCTTGTGGGTCGCCAAGCTCGCCGGCAGGAGCGAGGGCCGCCAGGCAGGAGGAGGAGGAAGTGTTGCTTGCTGGTTGGTGTAGGTAGAAAAGAGCGCGGTCACCACGAGGTCAGGTCTTAAATAGCGGAGGTAGGCGTGGCTTAGTAGTTGACCTCCGTCATGTAAGGCGGCGCTGGTTGACCTAGACCACGAGGCATACACTAGGGAATTCGCGGGGTCGGCTGCTCAGCGACAAACAGCGTTTGTAGGGAGAAATCCACTACAAGGTGACCCAACCTTCTCACCTGGTTACAAATATTCTTAATTACAAAATTGTCCAGTTTGAACATGCCATTACTCAAATTCATGTTGACTGCTTCGGTATGCTTAATAAGACTAGATTCTATTAAACACACACGGGAACTTGGTGTTTTCTTCTTTCCTTGTGGTTATCAGCATATATATATATATATATATATATATATATATATATATATATATATATATATATATATATATATATATATATATATATATATATATGTGAATAAAATTGCCATTAACCAAAATATGTGTATTATCATAGATAGTTAAAAGCAAAATAAGCGAAATGGAATTTAGATTTGGGTGTGCCTTTTTGTACTGTACAGATTACTCACTTCTGGGGCGGGATTAAGCGGATTTCGTAATACTTTTGTTTTCCAGTTGGGTACACGACTGTGATCACAACTTCACGCGGCAATCGGTATACTCTTGCTACCAGACTGCCAGTGACTGTTTTGTTGACAAGTGTGAGGGTCGGTGCTCGGGAACGTGCACTTTTTACACTCGGGTTTGCCAGGATTGTTCCGTGTGTCACCCGTTCTTGTGAACGGCTATCAAGTTTACGTGGAAGCAGTACTAGTTCTATAAGTGACCTTAAAGGAATTGCATGTAACGACTGTTAAGTGTGTGGATTGAAGACCAAAATCAACGTAATGCGCAGAAAAATATGATGAACATTAAAGAGAAGGCATTTTTTTTTATTGTGATTTACAGGCTAAGCAAGGTATCACTTATGAAGACAAACCTTTTCAGGACGACAAAGGTTGGTTGAAGGGTAAAAGAAAGTGGCTTAATTGTGCCACCATCAAGGTCAACACTAATCAACATAATTTTAGTGAGTAAAATTTAATAATTTTTTTGTGTATATATATCATGTTATATTAATTATTAAATTTCCCCCTTAACATGCATTTAAATTTATGGTAACGTCCGAGAACAGCACTACCACTATCTCGTTAAATTTTTCCATAGATGTTCTCTGGATGATATTGGTAATAAAAACGATACGATAATGCACAGAACCTGACCTAACCATCCAAACTATCCAATCAGGTGCGAACTCGTAGCAATGGTTTTAAATCAGACAAATTTGGTGCGAGGTAGGTGGATGAGTGGAACAAGATAGCGAACTTCATCATTAACTCGGACATAGTGGGTTACTTCAAATATAGGTTGGACTGATATATGAGCGATAGGGGGTTGGGTGTAAACGGGACTGCCTAGTGTGGGCAAATAGGCCTGCAGCAGTTTCCTCCATTATTGTATTTTACTTTTTACTTATGTCCTCTTCGCAGTGTTGCCAGATTAGCCATTTTCGGCTAGATTTAGCCCATTTTTGCTATATCTAGCCAGAAAATATTACATCTAGCCGATAGCCGAAAACCCACAAGGTTTGGCCATCTTTTAAAATTAAATATTAATATGAATTTGTTTATTTCTCTACATTTCAGTTTTAAAGCTATTGAATACTCTAACTCTAAAGTTATCGAATATTCTAACCAATGGTTAGAGATGAAAACACATTTTGGTATCGCAAAATCGTCTGAAAGTGCTATACATCAGAAATTTTACATGCCATGTACAGTGATGAATTCAACCTTGCCTACATGCTCTTTTTGAAGTCTGTTTTCAGTGACGTTCAAAGAGTGAACAAGATATTTGAAGCTAATGACTGTGATCCCACAAAGTTATTGGACGATCTGGCTCTTCTGATTGAAACGCTGGTTAATAGTGGTGATACTGTGGGGTACGGGTTGTTTGGTTCATACTCAGGAGCATGGTTACAAGCGTGATGTAGAGAGAGCTGGTTGGTGAGGGTGCTCAGAGGACAGCTTGTGGGTCGCCATGCTCGCCGGCGGGAGCGAGGACCGCCAGGCAGCGGCGGAGGAGGAGGCGTTGCTGGCTGGTTGGTGTAGGTAGAAAGAGACAGGTCACCACGAGGTCAGGTCTTAAATAGCGGGGGGTAGGCGTGGCTTAGTAGTTGACCCCCGCTCCGTGATGTATGGCGGCGCTGGTTGACCTAGACCACGAGGCACACACTGGAATTCGTGTGGTCGGCTATGCAGCGACAAACAGCGTTTGTAGGGGAGAAATCCACTACAGCACCACTGTGCATTACGCCATGCCTAACAGATTCAATTGGATAAAGATCAAGCCTGGTTCCCTATTGACCACATACTGGGAAATTGAAATTTACAAATGGTACTTAATATGATATGCCAGGTAATATTGTATAGCTGCAGGTTAATTTTTTATATTATTTTAGATCACTGATGAGAAATAAAAAGTATAAATAGACAGGCAGTCCACAATTTGTGAAGATCTGGTTTAGAGAGAGAGCGAGAGAGTTTTGTTCCCCGTTTCGATTTACGTACAGTCATACAAAAAACTATCTTTACAAAATTGTGTTGAAAAATATGACAACGGCTGAATGATTTTGGCAACCCTACCGAGATAACAGACGTCGCAGTGTTTATTCTGAAATTCATTGATCTCCCATGTACAGATACCGAGTTTTTTCGTAATCTTTTTAGCAGTACTGGAAGATAATGAGGAGCTGATACAGGCATCTCAGGTCTTCCAGTAATGTACCTGGTCAGTTTAGGAGGGAGATAGGAAGGAACTGGTTCACAAATAGGGTGGTGGACGAGTGGAACAAGCTTAGCAACTATGTAGTGGGTGCTGGAAAGTTTCAAAAGGAGACTGGATAGATTCATGGATGATAGAGAGTGGTAGTAAGTCTCGACAGGAGCTGCCAAGCACAGGCCAACCAGCCTATTGCAGACTCCTTATTTTCTTATGTTCTTATGTAAACTAAAAGCAATATACAGTTAATATTGACGACTGACCCGCCAATGCGTTATTTGTTTTGATGTTTATTTTCTTCATATATTTTCATCAGTGAATTCTGATATGATAATAATTTCTTATGCAAATTTTTCATTTGGTTTATAATTAGGCGCTTAGGCACACACTACTTTGTCTTCTCGTCGGTAATGCAGCGGTGATGTCTCATTCCCGGATGTAAACAGCCAGCCATATTGACGTATTTCAAAACACTCCCCTGTGCCACACTTCGATCGAGGCCTACACTCAGTACACATTAGCAGCTGCACTGATCGGGCGGCTGTTCTCACGTCCACACACGCTGGGCCGCCGCTTTCTTCTTGTGGAAGGTATCAGCTTTGGTCCAAGACTAAGGGTTGTTCTGCCAGTCAGTAAAGGCAGCATGTTTATCATCGACGAGTACATTGATTGCCGGGTCATTTTCATCAAACCAGTCCTGGTGTATTCTTTCGAGCTAGCCGAGGGTCTCTCTGCAGGTTTTTGTCATGACATTGAGAATATCCTATTTGACACTGGGATTTGGGTTGTTTGTTGTTGGGTTGTTTATCAGCCCATGTTCGAGCTGCTCTCTGAAAGCATGTGCTACCGCTGGATCCTCCAGATGCTTGGTGTTAAAACTTCTTCTGGAGGCTTACTGCCTTCGCCGTTTTGGGACGACGTGAAGTGATAACTTGGCTCTGGCGAGCCAATGATCAGTGTCCCAGCTGTCTGAGCCACGCATGGCACGGGTGATGAGGACATCTCGGCGACCTCTGACAATGATGTAGTCAGTGAGATGCCAGTGTTTGGATCGTGGTTGTTGCCACGAATCCTTGAACTTATCGGCCTGCCTATGGTTCCCTGTCAAATGTCAGCATCTCTGCCAACTCTGGCATTGAATTCACCAAGGAGCACAACCTTATTTTCTCTGGGGATAGAGGTTAGCACTCTGTCAAGGTCAGTGTAAAAGGCCTCCTTCATGTCATCCTCTGCATCGTGTTGGGGCATATGCACTGATGAAAAAGGCATGACGTGAGTGATTCAGTGGGACTCTGAGCGTCATGAGGTGCTCATTGATCCCAATAGGCATTTCAGTTAGCCTGTGTAGGATGCGTTGGCGGATGGCAAAGCCAACTCCATAAATGCGGCTTCTCTCCACAGCAGGCTTACCCTTCCAGAAGAAGGAAAGTTGCTATGTCGATGTTATACCTAACCAGCTCTTTTGCTACAAGGGTGGTTCTTTTTTCAGGATGTTCGTTTGTGCAAGTATCCAGAAGGGTCCTGACAGTCCATGCAGCGATCATAAGAGGTTGTATAGTTTGTGTTTGTTTGGATCTGTGATTATGATTGTTTTCGACTGCAACCCAACTAGATTAATTATCTCTCCATGTCCAGTTGCCTCCATTTACAACGGGTACAGTGACTGGTATGTTTTGAGATATGGCACCACCGCCCACCAGACAACAGATAAGAAGCCAATGAAGTTCCACTTGATAATTTATATTAAAACTATAACTTTCCAAGAAATGGGGCGCATTCACAGGTAGAGGGGGACTGCGGACTGCTTATTAAGCATCTTTGGTCTAGTTACTATGGCGAGGGTAGTTCTGCTAGTTTTACCGCGATGTAAACAAACAGTGGTGTCACATCTCACAAAACACGTCAGTCACTGTACCCGTTATAAATGAAGGCAACTGTACAATCGGCCTAAGAAGTGATGTCACTGTTTTAAGTATCTGGCAACTGTAGGGCGAAGACGGAAATCATAAATCAATCATAAAACTTGTATTACGCCAAAATTATTTCTCGTGTATTGTAGGGTCTTTTGAAAGGGGTGGCGATGAAATCCAATATTCCGTCTGTGAGTTTAGTGGCCTTAAACGTACAAACTTTTCACAAGTTCTGGGAGACACAGATCAGACACTGACTAGACGCTAACGCTCGCAGTGTCGCTGACTCGCGGACGCTGCCACGGTCTGCCTCCCAACATATCTAATTATCCCACATTACCGCCCCCCCCCCCCAAGTGAACAATAATATATTGGAACAAAATACAGAATATTCTTGTGAACTGACAAAGTAACATAGCTATTGGAAAGATGCACTTTCACTACCGTAGGTTATCATGTACTGTACTATCGAATGTTTATATATGTATGGATGTACTGTGTGCATATTTAGTCAATAAATTAAAATAAAATCAACTCATAGGGGTCCCACAGGATAACACCCTTCTTTTACCTTTCTGGACCGGGGATCGAACCCTGGGCACAGTCATGGAAGGTACACCTGTACCACCTTGCTCCCCACCCCTGTTATTGTATTCTATAAGAAAAATATAACATTATGTGGAGATTCCCCCCAAAAATAATTACAACGGATGATGGGAAGTCATTTTAGGATATCACAAACTTTATTCTATTGAAATAGTAATACTGCAGCTATTAATGGGAACGCAAACAAAATCGTAGCTATAAACACACATTACAGGAAAAAATAAAATCTAAATAAATAAAATGGTATTTTTGCGTGAGTGCACACAACTTTCCTACCCCAAATCTATTATCATATCCGAATAGGTCGTCTAATTTTAAGATGATTGTCTTCTTTTACATTACTGTCGCAAACATATAATAACGGAGATAGCGCATGCCAGATATTATCTATTTTCTTCCATTAATCTTCCGCCATTATAGCCTACCTGACCTCCCACTCTGCGTGTTTCCTTCATAAATCGTTACGTGCATGTGTTCCCGTACACGGGACGCGGCCAATCAAAAGCGTTTTTTTCCACTAATTAAAATGATTTGTTGTTTAATTCGCGGTATTTTTGGCCCAATCATATTCGATTTTTATTTTGGGTCTCCTATTTCGAAATTCAAATTCATTTCCGACCATGGAAGTCTGCGATGGGCGTCACTTCAATTATGTGTAGTTCATTGCGCGTTTTGGGGAAAACAACGAACAAGGTATATTATTTTTTAAATCTCATGGTGTTCTCCCGACCCC